CATTTTGAGTTGATTTTGAGCAATTTTGAGCAATTTTGAGCAATTTTGAGCGATTTTGAGCGGAATTTGTTCGGCCAGCAATTTGTATATTTGAATAGTCCTTTCAATCTACATGTCATTCCTGCACAATTGGAATTCACAAATTATGGAGATTGAAGCTAGGTCGTAACGTTTTTGCCCATTTTATTTTAATATTTGTTTTAGTCTAGACGCAATCCTTAGGCCAATTTTGAGCAAACTTTTCTGGCCAGGCCCATTGCGTTTGAATACTTGTTTTGGTCTATAGCAGGCCATTTTCGAGCAATTGAAAAGATTTTGAGCAATTCTACCCACATACCATCCATATTTTATCCATCTATTATTCTTAATTTAGCGTCCATATAACACATTCAATATCGATTTGCGATCAACGTGTTATCCATAAGTTATCCATGTTTTATCCATGTATAGTATCCATTCATTGTCCATTTATTATCCGTTTAATCATTGTTTATCCATTTGTTGTCAATTGTTTATTCATGTATTTGGCATTAATCATGCATTGGATTTAGCTATTATCAATCTATCATCCATTAATTATCCATTTACTACCCATATATCACCACATATTGTCTTGTGCTCGTCCGTTTGTTATCGATGTACTAGCAATTTATTTTCCATGTATTTTCCATTCTGTCATCATTGTTTCATCCATATGCCATACATATATCGTCCAATATTTTTTTTATTGCTTCCATATATTATCAGTTTCCTTCCATAAAGTTTCACATTTCCGTCCAAATGTCCAAATATTATCCATTGTTCAGCCATTATATCCAGCTATTATCCATTTGGCTTTATGCATTATCCATGTACCATCCATGCTTTATCCATATAAGAATACTATCCCTTTTTTACCAATTGTTCATCCATGTGCTATCCATCGGAAATCCCTCCTCCAAGATGTTTAAAGTTGAAAAAAGGCAATGCGAAATCCCTCCTCCAACAAAAGGCCAGCGTCTGGGACCAAAAGCAAGGGCAGCATTTTTCAGTATAGACTCAACATAAGGCCAGTATCTAGGACCAAAAGCAAAGTAGAAAGATAGGCCATACAAAATTCCTTGTCCAATCTGTTTGAAGTAGAAACAGGCGATACGAAATCCATTTAATTTTTGATAAAATGGGGATCCATTTATAATCCGTTCATTTCCTGAGTTTCCATTTATTTCCAGTTTACTCGCCAAATATTTTCCAAATTAAATCAAATATGTAGATATTATCAATTTAGTGTCCACGTATTTTATTTATATTATCCATTTATCATCCACTCATTTTCCATGTGTTATCAACGTATTTTTTACAACTTATCCGTTTATTATCCATACAGCATCGGAAACGACGTACGGCATGGAAAACAACAAATGCAACAAGACTATGCGCAAAATCCTCCACAAATAAAATAAAGTGCGACGTTGATTATTGAACATGCGTGTATTATTGTAAACATACATCTACATATATATATCTCTCTCTCTCAAATATATATATATATACATTTGTGTATATATGTTCCTTTTGCCCATTGCATGCCTACGCAGAATCACACATGTGTGCCAACATGTGTCAAAAAACGAGCCTTCAAAACAAACCTTACAAAACCACAGTCTCCACTGAAACTTTGTTCCCTTAACTAAAGTTTGTTTCTTGCGCAAACAAACCTCAATTACTGAAGAACAAACCTCAATTAAGGAAACACATCGTAATTAAGGTTTGTAAACATAAATGCTAATTAGTTAGTGCCTTTTTCAAAGGATAGGTATGTGTGCACGTCCACACATATTGATTTTTCAATTTCCAGGTCCACAACCGTATGCATGTATACACTCAAGTGTAAACAGGTATGCCAGTAGATATTCAACAATGTTCACGGTTAGATACTGTTGTAAAAGCACGCTTTTATTATATAAAAAACGTTTCATATCTATGTTCTGCTTGTATATTTCATTTCCTGCGTACACATGGTAGCGTTAAAAAAACGTTTTTGTTTACACATGTATTTCTGCTTGCGTACATAAGACATATGTGTAGATATTTTTTGGTGCTGGCCAGTGTTGGCAATGTGACTATATGCTGGCGCAGCGATCAAACATCAAACTTTATACATTACCCAACGAATGAAAAATGTTATTCCCTTGGAAATATCCATTTTTTCTACTTTTGAAGTTGCTGACTTGTTCGTGTTCACATGTTAGGTGGCAGCCTCATGACAATTGACCCAAGTGACAAAGGCTATTCACAACGGCAACAATGACAACACCATATTTCATGTCAGTTCAAGCTTTGAACAAAAACCAATGAAAACACACAAACGCAATACCAAATTTCATTTCAAAGGTTCATTTTTTGGTTTTTGGGTTCAAAGTTGTTCAATGTCACGTTTTCAAACCTGTGAAACACGTTGATGTTATCACGATGCTAGCACGACTCACTTTTGGCTCAAAATAGCTCAAAAAGTACTTTTTGAGATGCCCAAAAATCCCTACAAATTAATCTCCCCACAAGCTGGTCGCCATTCCGAAGTTTGTGATCCAGGCCGCCGGCAACAGCAGTCGGCACGAAGCCGCCGTTGCAAAGGAAAAGACAGTCGGCTCGAGGCCGCCGTCAACAACAGTCGGCGCGAAGCCGCCGTTGAAGACAGTCGGCTCGAAGCCGCCGTCAACAACAGTCGGCGCGAAGCCGCCGTTGCAGAGCAAAGATAGTCGGCTCGAGGCCCGGCAACAACAGTCGGCACGAAGCCACCGTTGCAAAGAAAAGACAGTCGGCTCGAAGCCGCCGTCCACAACAGTCGGCGCGAAGCCGCTGCTGCAAAGCAAAGACAGTCGGCCCAAAGCCGCCATCCTCAGAGTCAACCTTCGCCGCAAAGCCATCCTTGCAGTTACAGACAGTCGGCGCGAAGCCGCCGTCTTCAGACGCAGCAATCGGCCCGACCATCCTCAACAATACAGCATTTTTTTCAGCCCAACGCCTATGTCACAGCTTCCAGGCCGTGCGACACGAACTACCCAGGTCTGAAAGGGCCAGCCATCGTTTCCTATTAGACTCTGTCAGGGTAGTGCAAATTGAATTTTTATGAAATTCTAGGAAATTTAGTTAATAATAATAATAAATATCCATATCATGCAACCTTACTGCATGGAAGTCAAAAAGAAAATAATAAGTTATTTAAGGTGTTTTACATACTATATCTAAAAGCTTTTTATACAGCCAGTTAAGAAGGTTTTAACACATGAACGCCTAATTCATTGAAAACTATAATTTAAGTTACAGTTCCATTTTTGAGCTTATAAATTGTCGCAACAACTCAGACGCTGCTGAACAGTGGAAAAACGCCACACGCGCAAGATTTTTCCATTGAAGTGTCAACCTTTCAGAAAGGGCACCAGGGCACCACAACAACATCAGCAAGTTATTATATATTATATAGTATATATATAATATATTAGATAATAATAATTTTATAATAATAATTATATATTCTATATTATATATTATATATTATATATTATATATTAAATATTATATATTATGTATTATATATTATATATTATATATTATATATTATATCTTATATATTATATCATCTATTGTGTGTGAAGCTTTAACCGTCCTCCATTATGCAGCAATGTTCTTCGGAGCACCAACAAAACTTCTAAGGACACTGGTGGCAGACCCTAAAGGTCACCAAGTCCGGAAGTGTTGAGATACCTTGGAGATACCTGGATAGTTTGCTTGGTAACCTATATATATATAGTTATCATAGTTCAACTAATAGTTCATAATAGTAAGTATTATATATATATATAACTATAACTATAGTTATATATATATATAGTAATCTGGTTGGTGGTTGACCTACCCCTCTGAAAAATGATGGAGTTCCTCAGTTGGGATTATTTGTTTATTCTCAATATATGAAAAGTCATAATCCATTCATGTTCCAGTCACCACCAACTTTTTTTGAACGAAACTGGACCAGAATTCTTCGGAAGGACTGGTCATGTTCCAGTCACCACCAACTTTTTTTGAACGAAACTGGACCAGAATTCTTCGGAAGGACTGGTCATCTGGCACCCAAAAAAAAAATCACACCAAAACATCACCAGTCGACCTTCGATCGCCACGTACGATCACTGTACGATCGAGGACAGGCATCCCATGGTGCCATGGTGGTGCTATGCCAAGAAATTGCTGGTGAACAAAACAACCACTTCGGTTCGCATTTTGAAGCTGATATGTTTGCTTAGTAGCTGGTGAGAAAATACCACATCCAAATCTGATCTCCAAAAACCATCAAAAACCCGATGCTTCGCCGATTTTTACCCAATGAAAAATGGCAGTGGAACATGCCCAGTGATGTGAACGTTGGTTTAGATTCGCCCCAGTAACGAATGTTCGTTATTTGCGTACCATGTTTACCAGTTCGTGAAATTGGAGTTATTAGTTCACCCCAACTGAACGCTATCATAAATCAGCTATAAATCCCATCAAATCCCTTTATTTCTTGGTTAAAAATATCACCATTTAGCTATCGTCAACGGGGCCCAAAAACATTGTAGGCTTTGTTGTTCGATGATGTTCCCGCGGGTGAAGTGACCAAGGGTGAACTCGACCCTCAGGTATAGATGAAAATGGTAAATGGTATATTCCATAGCCCTCAGGTATAGGTGTATATTTCCCTCAGGTCATGTATCGTGGCTATGGGATGAAAATGGCCGATCTGCTTCGATGACGAATTCCACGAGATTTACCTGTTGAAAGAAAAACACAGTTACGGTTTTCTGTAGCGTTTTCTTAACTTGTATAGTCTCTGGCAATGAAACATGGTTTGCTGGAAAATCCCACCATAAATGTCTGGCTCAGCCATGTCGGCCATGATTTCTCCGCAACACCTCCATTTTCATCGGGAGGAAACCCAGCTTGACACCATGACAGCACCAGCGCTGACTGAAACGCCGCGAAACCCAGGTCGGGAGGAAAGTTCGCATTCATCGGCCTCAGCAAATTCCATGGAGATTGGAGGAATTCCTGGGATTTACTGGGTAAGGTTGAGGTATAGTGGTTTCATGGTGATTTCATGGTGATTTCATGGTGAGTTCTGGTTCTTTGAGGTTGTCCTGTGGCCAGATCATTCAGAGATGGCGAAGACTCGTCCCCCGATTTTGGCTCCGTGTCTTAAGACTCCAGTGATGGAATGCGGATCTCACTTGACCCCACAAATGAGGAGGGCAAAATAACTGGTTGGTGGTATACCTACCCCTCTGAAAAATATGAAAGTCAGTTGGGATGATGACATATGATGACATTCCCAATATATGGAAAGTCATAAAAGTCATGTTCCAAACCACCAACTAGATAAGCTGTTTGGGGATGTTTGGGGGTCCCCCAACTCCCATCCTTCCCATCCAGAAAATCTCTCAAAAATTGCGCTCCGCAGCGCTGAGATGCCCCGACAAGCGAGATGAGTGCAGCTGCATTTGTTGTTGCAGCAACTGTTGCTGCTGTTGCAGTTTCCATTGATGCAATTCCTGCAGTTCCTGGGAGATGCTTCAAAGACTTTCAAAGACTTTCAAATGCCCGTTTAACTCCCAGGAAACGATTCCCCAAAAATGGTGGATCTCCCCCCAAGCCCAAAAATGGTGGATGTCCCTTCAAAACAATAAGAACAAACAGTTTTAAAAACATCCAAAAAAAATCACACATCAGTTGGTTTCAGAAGGTTCATCTGCTCCAAAATCATCCAAAATCCAAGTTTCTCCCTGTCTTTTCAGTTGATCCATCTGTTCCTGTAGCTCCTGCTGTTCCAAATACCTCCGATCCATCGTTGGCGGAACCACTGCGTCCGGTGGAACCATCAAACCACCGGGCGGCAACGGGGCACGCGGCCTGGGCTCCCAGGTCGCTGCTGGTAAATGTATCACTACTTGCTCCCAGGAGCAATTTTGAACTTAGTATAACTTAGTAAACCGCCAACTGTCATTTTTATCCGATCATAATTCGGAATTCGGGGCATTTAAGCGTTCATGTTCTCTTGAAGGTTAATCAATCCATGCTGGTTCAAATTCCTATCAAATTGATGTTTGCAGAAACGGTGTGTATAAACTGCTGGAAAACCCCTCATTTGGTGGTCAGAAATCCCCATGATACCAGTAATTTATCTATGATAAGGAACACATAGATATGGAACATCCACCATGAATGACAGCTGCAAAACATCCATCAAGGACCAGGTGGGTGAGTTTCAACTGACAACCATGATTTATCAACAGTATATCCCCCATCCGTAGTGGTAAATCATCTTAAGACCCCGTATGCAGTCTGGTTCAATCATGTGAAAAAGATCCAGAAATATCAACATAATTAGATATAATAACCATAGGTCAGAATCAGAATAATGCCAGTGATCAACCCCTACTAAAAAAAAAACAACATGTCACAATTTATATACACTTATCATTCGTATACCCTCTATATACATAACTCTGGAAAAATCCACCACATTTAATAGCTAAATCAACGAACCAAATGGGCCATGTTCAATAGCAAACTGTGAAGAATTACCGGAGGGTATATAACATATACATATATATATATTATTGTCTCTTGAGATCCTATTCACTTAAAATCTTCCTCAGTTCGATATCTCAGATCCTCCCAGTCATGGCTGGTTTATTTTTGTTAGTGATGGTTAATTATGTTTAATTACTCACCATTAATACCCATTAAGCCATCATCATTACCCTCCGGTAAACTAACATAGCTATGGAAAATGGCCCATTTATAGATAGTTTACCTATTAAACATGGTGATTTTCCATGGCTATGTTAGTCATAACCAGATGGTCATAGTCCCTCAGTGAATTACAATACTTTACCCAAACCATGATGAACCATTATTAAACATAAGCCATTATTAACCATAAACCACTATTAACATCATTTAAGATGTCTGTATTAGGATGCCAATACCCATAGAAATAGATGGTTTACCTATTAAACATGGTGATTTTCCATGGCTATGTTGGTCATAACCAGATGGTAACCATTGTTTTAACCACATGATGTCGGAAAAAAGTCAACACTTCGCGTCGCTGTCAAGCTGCGCCGAGGAGGCCGTGGCGGCGAAGCGCTGCAGGGTCTGAAGCTCAGTGAGCTGCTGAAGACGATTCAGGGAATGGTGCCTCGGTGTCGCGTTGGGAAAAATGCAAAGGGAATATGACAGTTATGGCCATTTACCAGTTATAACTGGTTATAAATGGGATTATACATTCTATAAATGGGGTTATCAATACTTACAACTTACAACTGATAAATGGCCATAACTGGAGGAAACCCTAAATCGCTGAGTTGGTTGAGCAAAACTCCAACAACTGAGTTGGGTTTATGGTAGGTGTATAAATATATAGGATATTATGTATATAATTGTATATATATATATATAATTAATGGAAAAATGAGGAAACTCCCATGGAAAAAGTTGGGGATTTTTTTAACCAAAGATACAAAAAAAAATAATATAATGATGGAGATAAACATGGGGACATAATATCGAGGATATCATTGGGATATAAAAACCTTGGTATATATAGGGATATCATAGAGAGAATAATTATAGAAATCCCATTATGATTACTATTCTATGTTTGTTATTGTAATTGGATATCATAGATATTTCATAATCATAGAATTCTCATCATAGTAGAACAGATATCCCCATCATGATTTAGGTATATTATAATATATACAATTGATGACAAGTGAATGTAACTAACATGTCCATGAAGATATATTCATACTAATGTAAGTTTAGGTATATTCATATATACAAACATGGAGATGAACTAACAATGTCCATGTATTAATGTAAGATGAAGCGAATACCTAACCCATGTCATGGGGATATTTTTTTCATCTCTCAGGGATGATATTTACCGGTAAACTAACAGTTTGCTATTGAAAATGGTCATAGAAATAGTGGATTTACCCATGAAAAATGGTGATTTATAGTGGATTTACCCATGAAAAATGGTGATTTTCCATGGCTATGTTAGTCATAACCAAATGGTAATTTGAAGGATGAGCCTTCACAATGTCCATTCTGATCTCCCTGAGGATTTTTTTTGGATGTCATGACCAAGCATGAAATATTCGCGGATATGGTACAATGTGAGGCCCCCGTTCGATAGCTAAGTTGGTGAACATAACTCCAATAACTCTGGTTTATGGTACGCAAATAACTATAGTTACTGGGGCGAATCTAAACCAACGTCCACATCACTGGGGGGCCTCACATTGTAGCCATGGATTGATTGAAAAGTGGATATTTTTGATATGATTTCAGGGGATAAAGTACCAAACATGGTAGGATAACATAGGAATAGCATATCTAGAATTGGATGACAATCTACCATGATAGTTGGAGATTTTAGATAAAAAATCATGGAATGATAGTTGGAGATGATCTGCCAAACATTCAGATAGTTTGACTATGACTTCTATGACCATTACAGAATTTTGCAGGGGTTGTAAACCATAACGGTCCCCAATTCGGGCTTATTATGATCAAATGGGGGATGCTGATTAAGTAGTGGGGATAATGATGGTCAAGTTACACGAGGAATACATGGGGAATATTTCATGGACATATTGGATATGGGAGAATACGAAGTGAATAGAATAGCAATATGGTGGGATATATACTTGGTGGCTCATCCCACTTTGTAAGTTGGTTATAACCCCAGTTATAAGTGGCTTAACCCTACTTGTCCCATGTAAATCACTGGGGTTATAACCCACTTACGAGCCGTGGAATGAGCCACCAAGTAGCTAACAATCAAACATATGGTTTTTGACCACCAAAGCTAGGAGAGTGATATGATGGAATTAACCACCAGATCACCGGATAGTTAACTATGATCCAAACCGGCTTTGTAGCTACTGAAAAACATCAACCATTAATGGTGACCTGGTGATGTGATGGGTATATGTTGGGGACAAAAAAACGGTTGTGATTATAAAGATTGTCATTCTGTAATATGATACATTATTAGGGGAAAATGATGAGGATCATCATAAAAAAATGCCTTTCGTTTGGATCATTCAAAACCATTTTTTGGGGGATACGACGGGTAAATAACATGAAATAAATAGGGAAAATGGTCGTCTTGAGCAAATTTGAAGGTACCCTTTTTTCATATGCAAAATCGTGTGATTCCAGCTCCTCACTATGGGGATTCTTCCGTGTCCGAAAAATCTGAGAATGAGGGACTCTTCAAACTTTCAAACCATACGCAAATCAACAAAAAAACAACTTGACAAACAAAAATCCGACGTATGATGCTTTATAAATCATATTTCAGGTGATGTGAACATCTGAATTTCATGAAAAGTAAATCTAAGTTTGAAACAAGCCTATGTTTCAATCTTGATATTCATAACGGGGTTTCCTACAACAGAAATAACCCTAATCCAAGTCATTAGACCATAACTTAGTATCGAAGCCCATGGTTTTGTTGGGGATCCCCCATGACTTTAGAAACCCACATTTAGTATCATTTAGTCATTATTCCAAAACAGCAATAACAGTTACAATAACATTCACCACCATGAACTACTATTAACCATGATTAACCGTTATGAATCACTATTAACAGTCATTAATCAACGGTTAATCACTAATAATCATTAATCAATTAATATTAACCATAATTAACCACTATTAACCCTTACTAACCTTTTTAGGAGCCCCCTCCATATTGCAGCCACCATCGTTGAGGCTCCTAGGCTCCTCCAGGCCCAGGCACTCCCTGCGTTGCAGCTCCGCCATGCGTGGCTCGTTGGGACGTAACTTGCCCATCTGTTGCTTCACCTCCATCCTAGGGCTGAATTCCATGGTTTATGATGGTTTATGGTAGATATAACATAATATAACGAACTAGTTTAACCATGGATGTTAATGAGTGGGGTTTTATAAACATGTATAAACCAACTTATTTCATGGAAGATCAGTTACCCTGGTAATCTAATGGTTTGTAGTGGGAAACTAATGGTTAATAATTGATGTTAATTGTGTTGTGATAATTTAATGATCATTTTCATTGGGATTCATCCGAAATGGTAATGACTGGCCAGAGTTTGCGAGCTTGAAGCCATGGCCCAGAGAAATCGTTGATTTACCGTTTTAAGTTTACTGATGGTAATAGTAAATGTAATAGTAATAACTCACAAACCATCAATAAACCATCATGGGTGGATGATAACCATCTGATAACCAGGTTTTTAAGCAATGGTGGATGCTCCAGTTCGCTAACTTTCACCAGATGGTAGGTGGTGCAAGTGGCAAATCCATGGAAAAATCATGGTAGATCCACCCTAAATGGAGCTTGATGGCTGGGAAAGTCTCCAGAATGGAGATTCATCTGGGTAAATGAAAAAATCATTCACAACAACCTGAATAGTTCGGATAAAAGGGGATGATTTCCCTATACATTCACCATGATTTTTTCCACAATCTATGGCTTAGTGAACGCTGAGAAATTTGCCAAACTTCTAATTTAACCATGGTGAGACCCCGCGGTGTCAAACGTGGCTCGGAAATTCCATGGAAAAATCCCCTGAAAAACGGGGGGTTAGTGGAAGAATCCCGTAGAATTTTTATGGATTTTCCAGCCATGGAGCTGATTACCAGAAGCATCCAGTGAATAAAAAATGCCTCCAAAGGATAGCTAAGTTTTACTTATAACTTGGACAACTGCTGGGTTTATGGAGGATATAATTACATATAGTTCATCGGCTTATAAACCAACTCGTAACTCGGGTGCCCCACCCTGTAGATCTAGGTTGAACAAAGCGGTTGTGAACGCTCCGCGCTAAGTTACCATAAGTTTCTTTAAAAAAACATGCTTCATGCTAAGTAGCTAAAGAAAGTTGGCTCCATGGATATATATCGAAGCAACGGGGGTTCTAACATGTTCTAACTAGTTACCCTACTGAAGCTTAGCCGTGTGTCGCCTCGTGCCTGGATGAAAGCCACCAAAAATGGTGGAGAAAAACGGCCAGAATTACCATGAGAAAAAATGGTCTCTGTTGCAACATTGTTGAGATGGAAACAGGAGGGAAGCAAACATTGAAAGATTAGATTTCTATTATAATCTTAAATGTTCAGACACGATTTGTTTTTTTCGCAGTTGGCAGTTTATCCAGAAGTAATGACTAATCTATCCTTTGGGGGTCACCATATGTTGGAACCTCGCCGTTTTGATTCACTTTGTTGGTTACATCCATGTCATCGGGTCGGCTTGCTTTGTGGGCTACATTCTGGTACCTCGATTGAGGACCCTAAATAAGCTACCCCAAAATCTCTCCTTCACCTTTCGGTTGCCTATCAATTAATTGGTAACCAACCCCAACATCATCAGGTAGAATCACCCTAGTTACCTATCTCAGAGGTATGTAACTGGAAGGTTGGGGTCTTGCTTTATCATCATTCTCTCTTCAACAAGACATGTGTAAATTGCAGGGTAAATCCCCTACTCTGAGAAACCCATGTATGTTTATGTCTTGTGAGGTTGCCAAGTAGCACGGTGCGACGGAGCAATTCAATCTCCTGAAAGTGTGCTCATAACGAGAGGAGGGCTGGAGGGGGATGTATGTGTGGAGGATGTGAGTTGATGTGGAGTGGAGGGGTGGTGTGGAACAGGGTGAATTAGTGAAGAATTTGGCACAAGATTGGTCAAAGAGAACAAATTTGACCACAGCAGCCGTTTATGCAGACCATTTTGGGGGTTCATTTCTGGTGTTTTTTGTTGCAGATGTTTTTAAATACAAAGCCATTTTTGAACTGTTACTGGGAGGGTGGCTAACCCAATTTAAATGATGTAGGTAAGTATGGTACAGTTATAAAGATCTCTACTGATTCTTCATTGAAACCACCTGTGGTCACTTCAAAATGAACAGATGCTTCAGTGCATCGGGGCGCCAGGATTCACACACCATGATTCACACCAAGGATCACCACATGTCTTGGGTTTCTGCATGCTCAATCACACAATAGGCATCCGGAAGTGGTTCCACATAAACATATACCCATGACGGATCCATGTATGCTATATATGGTAACATTTGGGGTATATTGATGGTAAATGTTACCATATATAGCATACATGGATCCTATGGGATATGGTAACCGGGTAACCTATGAGGTCTGAATAGTTGATCCACAAAGTCGCAGCACTTTTGTGGCCGCGCCCCCCCTGAAGGGTTGCCGCAGCAAAATGATCGTCTGCGACTAAGAGCGTCTGGCGGTATTTTTGGAGCTGAAAATTGTGGCTGACCCAATAGCTGGATGGTCTACAATGGAAAATCCGAGAGTCAAATGGATTTCGGGGTATTTTAGGAAACCTCCATATATTCATCCAATATGAATGAACCATCCTAACCATTTCATATGGCGGATGAAATTCGCACCATCAACTGTAATTATTGTTGGACATGTTAGGACCACGCTCTATTCGTCATTCAATCTGTAATCTAATTCCCATCGATTTTGACATTGTTGTTGTCTGCAATGGGTTGTGATGCAATCAGTTCTCAAATGTGTGGAAAACCTCGGAAAACCCATGCCGTGAAATGCATAGGGAAGGTTCATTTATAGGTATCCTGTTACTGCCCTGGGTCTTAATCCCCAACAAACCAAGTAGGTCAATAACACCTTGCTTCATAATCAACAATCATTTGTCAAGTGTATCCCCAGATTCATAATTGTTAAAACTCATCTGAGATGCTTAAACCCCTGTTGTGTCGTTGTAAAATCACCAAATTCATGCTAAACTTCCATTTTTCTCACTTGTTGATAGTAGCTTAACTTCATTGTTTAAGACAAAAACTCGCCAAAAATCCCATGTGTCGATCATAAATCCATATCAATCCCTGCCAAAATCACGATGTTTTCCCAACAACTCATCACCGTAAGCGTCACGTTCTCGCCCTCTGGCCATCCTGCAGTTGTTCTTCAGCTTCTTGTGGCCCAGGCGTCCGAGGCACTGCCTCAAGCGAAAAGATGGGCAAATTCACCTTTTAGGGGGATCAATTCAATGGCCATTCATGAAAACCAGCTATGACTTAGGGATACTTAGAGATACTTAGGGTATCACAATATTTTTCACATCCATTAACTTGGATTCTATGGTTTATGGTGGATATAACATGATATAACATGATATAACATGATATAACATGATATAACTATAGCTGGTTGGTGCTTGACCTACCCATCTGAAAAACATGAAAGTCAGTTGGGATTACATATGTATATATTATTCCCAATATATGGAAAAATGTTCCAAACCACCAACCAGTGGATTATTTAGGGGTACCTGAAAATTTTAGGAAACCACCATATGGAAAAAATCCAGTTATATATGGAGAATATAAACATCATTGATCTTATGAAAAAAATGTTTAAGAGGTAATTCATCGAACTGGATGGTACAGTTTCCAAAGCTGTGTTTGTGTACTGGAGGGTATTATGGGGATACGAAATGGGATACCATATATTGGTTGCGGTAATTAATATATCATTAATATTCATATCAAACAAATTAACTGTTGGCTAGAATGATATGTTGCCCATATCGATACGAGGAGGGCATACGGTTGGGGAACAATATGGACAATCATTGGTTTTAACATATTCCCATTTCATATCCAATCAACAACGATCATGCTACAATTTTCCCGTATATTCCCCTATGGAGGATGGTTTTTCTTCACTTTCATTTGGAACATTAATTGTGGTACATAATTGAGTACATAAGCTGGGAATATGAAATAACAGAATGCAAGTATGTGTTTTGTTGAATATGACGTATGTACCCATATTATGGGAATATCAGTTGTTGTGGCCGTTTGATGCGGAGATCGGATGAAAACAATGATGTAGATAGGGATTGCGGGGTTTGACAACTATAGCTCGGAAACCCATTTAGAAAGTTGTGGGATATCATGGGATATCAGCCGGGCCATATCATGAAATATTTATGGGATTTTGGTTTTTGGTCTACTTCATACGGAAAATGATGTGATATTCATACCCTCCTGTAAACATAAAGATCTGCAAACCACACCAGGGTCCACCATCAGGCTGGGCTCCATGAAAAGTGAGGGAATCCTGGTTTTCATAGGGGTTTCAATGGTTTCAACCATCAGATATTGAGGCTTTGTCCAATACTGTGGATTGAACATCAGAAATTTAGAGATTTCACCCATATTGTGGTCCCGGTGTTTCAATACGAAGGTGAAGATCCGTGAAAACATTGGGGTTAAGATGATGGAAACAGTCCTGAAATGAACATACATGTATATATTACACATATATATATATACACATGGTAAGCGGCCCCTCCAGGGCCTACCTTGAAGCCACTGGAGGGTACCCTGCTGTTGACATATATTATTATATATATTGTGAATGAAAAGCGTGTCATTGAAAAATACTGGAGAATACGCAGTAAAATGCAGTTCGGAAAGTTATATTAAGATGAGTGAATGAAATAAATTCAAGGATAAGGAACACTTTTAGAGAACCAAAAGTTGGCCTCCAAAAGCAGTCCAAGCAAAAAAAAGTCTCTAAATCATCACATCTGGTCAAATTACTTTAATTTAATTCTTACCTCGTCTCCCTCGTGTCTTAATTTGTTCCCAATGATTACTGTCCTCGTTCGTTAATTTGCAGGTGCAAATTAAGGCTTTACCTCGTTAACTTCTTTCCAGGGTCCAACCCCAAGGAAAAAACTTTTCAGCTTCCGAAAAGTTTTTTTCCACGATCCACGGTCTCTTGCAGGGATTTTTAAATCTGAGTCTGATCGGTCTTTGCGCTTCTTGCGCTTGGGTGGTGACATCTCTGACGTTATCGCAGAGATGCAATGCTCTTCTGGGGCAACTCTGAATCCTACTGCTTCTGCAGCCGTCAACCCACGAAGCGGGCCTCTGGCGATAGAAAATAAAACTTTTTGGGGCCTGAAAAGTTTTTTCCCCACCTGCCAGGTGAGGGTTGTTAGATTTTATCAGAGCTGTTCTCCTCCTCCTCCGCCTCCGCATCCTCCTCCTCCATCTCCTCCGCCTCCTCCTCCTCGCAGTCCAGATCCCAGTGGGCACAGCCGGACCTCCACCGCGAGCGCCAGATCGCAGTGGGCACTGCCGGACCTCCACCGCGAGCTCAAGATCTCAGTGGGCACTGCCGGACCTCAACCGCGACTTCCAGGTTGCAGTGGGCACTGCCGGACCTCAACCGCGACTTCCAGATCGCAGTGGGCACTGCCGGACCTCAACCGCGACTTCCAGATCGCAGTGGGCACTGCCGGACCTCAACCGCGATCCAGATCCCAGTGGGCACTGCCGGACCTCAACGGCCAGATAGAATGCTAGAAGATATGCCAGAAGATATGCCAGAACATATGCCAGATAGAATGCCAGAAGATATGTCAGATAGAATGCCAGAAGATTTGCCAGTAAGAAAATGTATAAATGCCATGGTGGGGATCATTCGAAGTGAAGTAATTTTCCTTCCTTGCCTGCTGACCGGCCTCTGGCGATAGAAAATAAAACTTTTTGGGGCCTGAAAAGTTTTTTTTCCTTCCTTGCCTGCTGACTGGCCTCTGGCGATAGAAAATAAAACTTTTTGGGGCCTGAAAAGTTGTTTTTCCTTCCTTGCCTGCTGACCGGCCTCTGGCGATAGAAAATAAAACTTTTTGGGGCCTGAAAAGTTGTTTTTCCTTCCTTGCCTGCTGACCGGCCTCTGGCGATAGAAAATAAAACTTTTTGGGGCCTGAAAAGTTGTTTTTCCTTCCTTGCCTGCTGACCGGCCTCTAGCGATAGAAAATAAGACTTTTTGGGGCCTGAAAAGTTTTTTTTCCTTCCTTGCCTGCTGACCGGCCTCTGGCGATAGAAAATAAAACTTTTTGGGGCCTGAAAAGTTTTTTTCCTTCCTTGCCTGCTGACCGGCCTCTGGCGATAGAAAATAAAACTTTTTGGGGCCTGAAAAGTTTTTTTTCCTTCCTTGCCTGCTGACCGGCCTCTAGCGATAGAAAATAAAACTTTTTGGGGCCTGAAAAGTTTTTTTCCTTCCTTGCCTGCTGACCGGCCTCTGGCGATAGAAAATAAAACTTTTTGGGGCCTGAAAAGTTTTTTTTCCTTCCTTGCCTGCTGACCGGCCTCTGGCGATAGAAAATAAAACTTTTTGGGGCCTGAAAAGTTTTTTTTCCTTCCTTGCCTGCTGACCGGCCTCTGGCGATAGAAAATAAAACTTTTTGGGGCCTGAAAAGTTTTTTTCCTTCCTTGCCTGCTGACTGGCCTCTGGCGATAGAAAATAAAACTTTTTGGGGCCTGAAAAGTTTTTTTCCTTCCTTGCCTGCTGACCGGCCTCTGGCGATAGAAAATAAAACTTTTTGGGGCCTGAAAAGTTTTTTTTCCTTCCTTGCCTGCTGACCGGCCTCTGGCGATAGAAAATAAAACTTTTTGGGGCCTGAAAAGTGTTTTTTCCTTCCTTGCCTGCTGACCGGCCTCTGGCGATAGAAAATAAAACTTTTTGGGGCCTGAAAAGTTGTTTTTCCTTCCTTGCCTGCTGACCGGCCTCTGACCCCCAAAAAAGTTTTTCTAGCCAAGCCCAAGCATGCAACAGAACCAATGCAAGGCTACCTCGTCGAGGTCGGCTAATTCTGATGAGCAAATTAAGGGCTGACCTCGCTAATTCCTGCAACCTGCCTCGTTGCCTCGGCTGTCCTCGCTATAATTTGTGCAGATCACATGTAATTTGGATAATGAGCAAAACTATTGAAACAGAAAAGATGTTTTCAGCCAAACAAGTTGGATTTTTGGTGTTACCTTAGTTTTTTGTTTTTATTGGTTTCCTCGAGAGGGTCTTTGTTTTTTGGTTTTGGAATCCAAAAACCTAAAACAAACTCATGGATAAAGTTGGTTTTTCATCAACAAGTATAATTTCATTGAACAATAATTTGTATCAATGCCTAAAAGACATATATTCTTACAAAATGGTTCTTCTACTCTTGACGACATCTCCTTACAAAATATCATTGCACACCCTGATAATGTTTAACAGTATCTTGAGCTTACAAAAAGCCTCAAACAAACAAACTCGATGGTCTTATAGAATGAGTTGGCCCCACAAAACTCTTACAAAATGAACACTTCAAAATGTACAACTTTGCCTTTTAGGTGTCCTGTTACAAAATGCCCCGGTTAGGGTGCTCATTGTAACTACAAAATGCCTATATATAAATCATTTAGAACAGGGTCGGCCCCTTCCAAAATGTAAGGGACAATCCAAATCCAACGGGTATATATATATATATAATATGCTAAATATATATATATATATGATATCTCATATCTCCTAAAAACATTATATATATAATTATATAGAAGATACTTTATCAGACTATATCCCCTTAAATCCCCATTGAATCATCCCATGAAATCACCATCTTTTCACTGCCGAGGCCCTGAGGCTCACACCCGAGAATCTCCTGTGCGTCCATCTGGCAACGATATGGCGAAGAGTTCGACCAGTTTGTCATGGAAAAAAAATCCTAATTTCTTTGGAATTTACATGGATGATTTCTGGGTGAATCTGGGTAAACTATAATATTTATGTGTATATATATATATATGTATATATATCTGGGTGAATTATATAATATTTAAGACTAACCTGAATAGTTCGGCCATAAAAGGGGATGATTTCCCTGACATAGACCATGATTCCAGGGTTCGGGAGAACAGTGAGGTCGTTATAATTTACCCACATATATGTATGAGTGACATGGGTTTTAAATGAACTTATGATATAATTATACAAAAAAAACATATATGGATGATATTGTTACATCATGTTGATCCATGGATACGGTTTCAATACTAAAGTGATCATCCATGACATGGATGATGACTGGCGGGCTTCCACATGACGAAACGGAAAGCTCCAAAAATCCGAACACGGGATCATGATTGAACGATTGTATCTGGATGAGACACGATAATGAGTTGCGGCCATGGAACAAATATGAAAATCGTTTAGTTTATTTATTTAAAAAACAACAACAATTTTCGTGAGTTGCAACCAAACCAAAAAATAGCAAACACCAATCGTTGTTAGATAGAACCCAATGCAACAGCGATAGGTATTGGACAAGGTGAAAAGCTTGAAAATTGGGATAGGTGACTCGTGCCTCTATTTATGACCGACTTTTAGTTGGAGTTAGTGGGAAATTGCGGTGTGGCACGGTATGGCTCAAATGAGAACATAGCATACAGGTACGGCAGGACCGACAAAGTTGGTCATGTTCTGTCTTTAGCTATCCAAATGGTCGATGCACATAAGCTCAAATCATGTTGAGTCATATTCAATCCCACTTCCAGCGAATCTTTCCTGGCTACATGTCCACGCTCAAAGATTTTCCTCCATGTATAGCCATACATGGAAAAACATAAGAAAGTCAATCTACAATTCACCAGTCAATATTTATCTTTAACTTATATACGCAAGGTGGTCCCCCCCGCCGGTTACAACTTGTGTATATTTTGAAACCAATCAAGCTGGATGTATTTAGCATAATTTCTCCTCAGCCCACTTAGTTCAACCAACTTAACTAAGCAATTGGGGCACCACCTTGTGTGTGTGTGTATCTATGGTATCTATGGAGAACAAAAACTCACTAACCTGAAATAAAGTGAGGCTGGAATAGTTGCCCTTATTAATTAATCATCATTCCAGTGAGGTCGCGGTGAGGTCAGGTCTTCGTAATTCAAGATAGATATACCTAAAACATCCTAAAACTGTATGCAAGGTCCACCCCTCTCCAGCTATGTCGAGGCACTCTGTTCGATCAGCAGGGCGCACGCTAAACTCTCAGGCAAACCCTGGACATCCGGAAGACTCCTGGAGGGCCCCGGCTCTTCGATGGGCTTCTGCTGGTCGAACTAGCCACGTTTACTACGGATTACCATGGTGATCCATAGTGTATAGCAACCCCCCAAACAGACGATGCCAAACTCTGGAAATCCCGGGAAATTCCTAGGAATTTAACCATCATCGAACTAGCATCCTGGTTGCATAGGTGAAATGAAACCAACAAAACTGTGGGGCACGCATTCTAGAGAATTTGAGATTACTGATTTAAAACTGACCCACTGGAACCAGAACTCTGCCCAAATCAAACCAGAACAAAACTTGCTCAGGGGGAGGGAGAGAGAGAGAGAGAGAGAGAGATCCAAGTGACCCAAAGCTATTGAGGTTTGGAATATGATGGGGGTAGTTGGAGCCGGAGCCTGTTGCCGGCAGCCAGCAGCTGCTATTTTTCTGTCATCTAACCGACAGTCATCCAGCTCGTCTGGATCTTAGCATTAAATCAGCTGGAGAAAGCTGACTCCAGCAGTTTTGGCCTGCAATAATCCCATGATATTTATATGGTGATATATGGTGATACTGTGTTTGACTTGCCACCAATTTCTTTTGACTAAATCACAGAGCAACACAGGGCGCTTGGCAAAGTGGTACATGGCTCAGCTACCTGAGGAGATGGACCCACCAAAAAACGCTCGCAGCAACATCAGGAACGAGTCCTGCTTGGAGAGGGTTGCCACATTTATAAACTGATCAGAGGATCCTTATTGCATATTATAAATAATAATATCAGATAATATCAGTTTATTGCATATTCTTTGTTGCCTTATCGCATATTGATAATATCAGCTTCTCACCAACCTGCAACAAAGCCTTAGGCGAACAGCCATCTGGATGAGTTCACGAACCCATGCTGGCAGCTTGGTTTCGAAGTTCGAACGACTGCGAGGCCTCCTTGGAGAGGCCGTGTTTTTTTTTCGCCATGGACTTGCGCTGCCCATGATGCCGGCACCACACCAGAGGAGCCAGCACCGATTTGTTTCAGGACATATACTTGGAAAGTCTCAGGAGTTTCACCCCGCTTTTCAATGACAACATCTCCAACCTCAGAGCTGTGACACGCTAGGTAGACTTTCGTCCACTTTCCCGACTCCTGTCCGTAGAGTATGTAGTGAACCATCCGAGTCAAAACAAGCCAACAGTTTCAGCGCAAGGCTACCATCCAATCCATTCATCGGAGTGGTAGGGAAGTCTGACAGCAAACGTGAGATTGATAGAGTTGAGATACGGCTGTGGCTGAATTCTATGGTTTATGGTAGATATAGCTTTTGATAACTATATATAGTATTCATGGTGTTTTTTTCGACCAACGTTCACATCACGTCAACGGGGGCCCCATCCAAATCCAGCCAGCCAGCCACGCCACTCTCCCGTCCTTAGTTCTTCCTTGGAATGGGCATGGCGACAGAGTTCACCAAGCTTGCAGCTTCCATAGTCTGGCCATCGGTCAAACATCGGTCGAAATGGACAAGGGATCAAGATGGATCAAGGATGTAAGATCTGCTTCGTCATCGATTCACATAAAAACCTGGTTGGGAACAATCTTGATTGATATCTGATTGCGATATGGAGGTTCAAAACATGGAAACCACCAAAACAAACGCCATTTGATACCATTCGAGGTGACTCGTACCCGGGTACCCCGTCAATCTGCAGTACTTTGGATGTTTTGGTCCCCTCCATTCCTATTGTTTTGAATTTCAAGCTCGTGAACTCATTCCTGGTGCGTTCTCCACCACTCTGTGTCAAAAAAAAATCATCCCCTCAGCCTAGTCAGATAGTCGTCAGCTAACAGGACCACGAATCGAAGTCACTTAGCTAACAGCATTCCCCTCGTGTCATCTAACGCTTTTTTAAAACATGGAAACACATGGTTAAACACATGGTTTAACACATGATTAAACACATGGAAGCACATGGAAAAACCATATGGGGGTTTCCTGAAATGTGGCTACCCATGGCTACCCCCAGCCATCATCCATTTTCTGTTCGGATTTTCCATGATTTTTTTACCAACCCTCCATGTTGGGGTACCCCCATGGCTTAGGAAACCTCATCCCTCACTGGAGACTCTCGGCCATTCCGGGATGAAACTTTCTCGGAAGCCACGACAGGTTTTTCTTCAAGGCATCCCCATATGCTCCATGGTGCTGAAATATTTACCTACAAAACTGGCTCATTTATGGGGTAAATGTTGGTGAATATTCCAGCACCATAGACATTTTTGGGATCTAGTAACCATGTTGGGAATGTTTTGTACCAAAAAAACTGGACACATTTGGAGGTTTCCTGAAATAGGGGTACCATTTTATTAAAATTATCCATTATAATGATTTACTACCCTCTGGTAAACGTTTACATAGCGAACTGGAAAATCACATTTTTCTAATGGGTAAATCAACGAACTTTCTATGGGCCATTTTCAATAGCAAACTGTTAAATTACCAGACGGTAAAACATGATAAAAAATCATGGGTTCAGGGCTTCCCCAAGAAGCCCAACTGGCGATCGGCCACTTTCCTGGGCTTCCACGCAATAGAAGCAACACATCGTGGTCTTGTAGAACCTGCTGATCTTCGCTGATCTTCCCATATCTTCCCATGAAATACCGGTTGCTACATTCGTATTTCATGCCCAAAGAGGATCCATGGCCACTGAGAAGGTACGGCGGTTCCCCGAGGAGCTAGTCATCATAGCCCAGTTACACTTCCTTTCAGAAGGTACGGCTGGATCCATGGGGATGGCAAATCCATGTCCCGTTTGGATATTTAACGTAGCAAACTGGAAAATCACCATTTTGGATATAGTAAATGGGGCCCCCCAGTGATGTGAACGTTGGTTTAGATTCGCCCCAGTAACTAGTTCGTTATTTGCGTACCATAAACGGTAAACCATATTTATTGGAGTTGTAAACCAACTTAGCTAACTATGGGGCCCCACCCTGTAGGTAAATCATAATCATAAATCCTCTATCAATGGACCATTTTCCATGGCGAACTGTTAAATAGCCAGAGGGTATAGAATAATAAACCATCCCCCAGTCATCAAAATCTTTATAGGTGGTATAAACCACAACCAAATTGCTAGTTTATGGCATTCTTTTAACCTCATTTTATATCCCTATTCATTCCAGGCTATAAGAAGCAGTAAACCTCAACAAAAACCACTGAGTCCAACTCGCAGAATCAACCAATCAGTCAGTGAGGCAAGTCCTTAACGAGGAAAAAAGGGAGCAACGTTCAAAAGCTGTTCCACGTCGTCCCGTCGAAGAATGCTTGGTGAAGAACGGGATTCCCCTAATATATTGTGATATTCCCTAATATATTGGTTAGTATAATCCCTGGACTAATCACCAACCACTGATATTCATATATGGTTAGTTGGTCATTTCACCGAATGGTACCCAAATGGTAAACCCAGCATAAAATAGCAGGTGAATGGTATTTAATGAATATTTAATGGTTATACCCAGTGATTTCTGGCAATTTCATAGGTAACTTGACCATACTTGACCCATAGTCATCAACCACTTCTATAGGAAGTAGCGAAATGGCAGGACCAGTCCAAATTGTCCAAAGGACTGGACCGTCCGAAAAAATGTTCAGTTTCTTGACCGGGAATATCAGAGAAAAAACTGGGCTACCCTCAAAAAATGCAACTTTTATGAGCTTGAATAGGGAAAAGGATGTTGTAACCAATGGATTGTGTGTTTTTTTACCATACCCATCAGACAAAATGGAAATGGAGAATAACTTGTAGCTAATAAGTGATAGTGGGCAATGACCGGGAATATCTGCACGGTGTGGTATTTGTTGGATCATACCTTCATGAAGGTACGGGGATTATAAGGTGGTGTCCCCCATTCAAAAAGTTGTTTTTTAACCCTTAACTATGGATAAAAAACGGATGTATCATTATAAGGTGTATATCTACCACAAATCCTAGTGAAATTGTAGTTATGTAACCCAAGTGATCCTTCACTCCTATCCATCCCATTGAATCCGTGAAATCCCATGGTTAAATCTCATGGAAATCCGTGATTTTTTTGCGAAATGGGACCCTTTTCTTAGTGCTGGCGCTGACATTCCAAGTCACTTGTCTGTGGCGCGCAACTCATCGAGACTATGTGCGAAGGTGCAATCCTGGTGGACCGTCAAACTGGTTGGCATGGGGAGTTACAATGTGTTTGTTAACTGGTAAATATAAGATATATATATATATGTTTTCATAGGAATATCAACATAAACCAATGACATTCCTATATTATACTAGAATATCCATACATAGCTATGTTCATGGAATTATATATGGTTTCATACTAGATTATATCATAATGTTAACATAGGATTACATCATGTTACTATATATATGATATTTTGCAGATACTAGATAATCTTAGTTCAACTGGCAAATATAACAGTTATTAAAAATGGATATAAATGGGTAGTGGCTATAACTAATATGGCCATAAATACATGATCTAGTTCATAATAGATCATGCTAGATTGCTAGATCATTCGTTATATCATAGTAACATATTTATGTAAAACTGGCTTGTTTCATGATTTGTTTGACCTTAGTTACAGGAGTTATAATCCCGTTTATATCCATTTAAAACTGTTAAGGGCTATACTTGTAGGGATAGCGACCAATGTTTTTGCCCATCAATTGGTAAGTTTTGGATTCAAACAGTGCTACCTATGGCTCACTAGCATCATAACTGTGCTGACTATATCGAATGACAAGTTCGCTTTTTTTTCACAGCTGGTGAACTTAATCTACTGACCAAAGGCAGAACCTAAGTACATTTTCCGCCTGTGTTGCTATCATTTACCTACATGGGGTTGGAGCAACCCTCAGCAAGTTGGTTTAGAACTAGGCTAAGCCAGGATTTATGATATTGGCCAAAGTCTTGGGGGCTCACATTTTTTCTTAGATTTGGGATGACTTGGGAGTGTGATCCCAACATTCATATTCTTCCACCTGATGGGGATTAAGATCCAAGGCTCCAAGGATGGATCAGCCCCCGTGATAACGAACGCGTGAAAAGTTGGGGTGAACTAATAACTCCAATTTCACGAACTGGTAAACATGGTACGCAAATAACGAACTAGTTACTGGGGCGAATCTAAACCAACTTATAACTGGGGGGCCTCACATTGTATATATATATATATATATGGGTAAATTACAATATCTCACTAACCTGAATAGTTCGGCTACCCATCTTCCCAAGCGCCGGCCGTACCCCCGCAAGCAGAGCACGACCGGCCCAAAGTTCTCGGCACCTGAGATTAATTCAGGGAAAGTGGGCAGCAACACCTCAGTGAAATAGACCAATACAAGATGATGACCTAAATTTCAAAACTGGTTCACTCGGTTCTTCCCCTCTTAATCTCACGACGTCGTTGGTGGTAACGACGGTTTCTGGCTGCTAACGTGTTGTCTGCAGGCGTAGCGATACTGGGTGAAATGACAGGATCTGCGCCAGGTATCATCGGGTGATTCCAAAATGATTGTGGCTGGCCAGTTTCGTCTGGTTTCGGAAAATTGGTCAAAACGTCCAGTGTTTCCTTTTGCTTCAGCATTCTCGGGCGGCAGGGTATTCCCTGTTTCAAGTGTCCACATCCCAGCAGGCAAATAGATTTGACTTTAGTAGGTGACATGGTTGGCAGAATTGGTGTTTGTGCTAGGTATTGAAGGTGCTCCAAACTGTCTCTGAAAGAGTTCACCATAGATGTAAAACTGTAGGCCTTGACATCAAAGCCCTCGTGGTCCTCATTGTTCTTGTAGTTACTGATGCCATTCTCCCGAATGTTGATGGGGATCGATCTTTGGGAAAGCAACAAAAAATTAACAGCTAACTCTACCCATGTTATTCCAATAGGTGGTCTTGCGTTGTCAAGTTCAAGTGGCCATTCCAAAGTGCTGATCCATTCGACTAATGTGGCAGTGTAGCTGGTACCCCAGCGGCTGGCGTGTACAATATAATGTAGCTCTAATGGAATCCGAAATATTCGAAAAGGTTGAACAGACCATTGTATTAATTGGTTTATTTTCTCATCTGGGTCCATGCAAACTGGGTCCTCTTTCAACAATCGCGAGCGCATAAACGAAAGGTCTGATCGCAAAACCAGTTGTAAATGCAAATGTTCATCCATGAATGTTTGGTGAATCCGAAGCTCATCAAGTTGTTGCGTCAAAGGTTGATGCAAGTTAACATGTGCAAGGTTGGCGGCAAGATCTGCTACCGCATTTCCCTGTCGCAGCTGAAAATCTGGCACTCCAATGTTCAAAGCTTGATGGGCTTTAACCTTGCAAACTGGCAAATGATATCGGTCTTCCCAAAACAGTTTATGCAACTTCCGGAGGAGGTCAAAATTAGTTTTCTTATGCAACATGCGTATTTCAGGTGTGGCCTTGATTAGTTCATGTGAGTCAATTACATATTGGCTATCAGTCACTAAAATGGCATTGGTCCTCATTTCCTGTGCGACATCCGATGCAGTGAGTTCGGCTCTCGGAACATTTTGGCGCCCCTGGACATGTCCTACTGCGGCTGTGGTGAATGCATGATGCAAAAGCCAATGGGCATCTGTTTGATGTGTGATCGCAAGCTGAGTCAAATCCATGTGTGGGTAAACCACTGCAAACGACGCCCAACGTGTTTCTACCGCCTCTGGGTGTTTGCAAGAGCCATCAGTGAAAATAAATTCTGGCAGGTAGCGCGTGGGATGGAAAACTTCCGGCCAAGGCATAGTATGAAGCAAAAGTTTACAAAAATCAACTTCCGGGTCTGCATATGCCAGTGGCAGCAATGTGTGGATGTCATCATATTCATGAAGAAAATTGATAGCTGCCTGATGCGGTGCTCGGACAACTTCAGTGGCTGCGCGATGCAAGATACGGTGAGGAACTGAATCTAGGTCCCCACACAACTCGCAGTTCTCTGTCTGATCTTGTGCAAATTGATGTTTCTGGTAATTTGTCATGAATCCCGCTGTCATTTCAATGGCAACTATGGGCTGAGAAGATTTTGGCAGCTTGGCTAAAGCTGCACATGTCCTTCGACGTGATGGCAATGGGATAGAGGTCATACCTCTTCGGTTGGAAATACTTAAAACCACATTTCGCATCCAGTCTTCTTCGGCAGCTGTCAGTATATCTTCCAAGTTACTGTTACACAGGTTAAAGGTGGCACCAAAAGTGGTAAACAAGTCACCTTGCTTATTTAGGGTCCAACCTATCTTAGAAAGATATGCAGTAAAGGCCATGGCCGGTCCTATGACATGGGCTGCTCGGATGTTGGTCTGGACTGCAAGCTGCATGAAAAGTGAAAATTCTTCTGGTGAAGCCCACAGCAAAAAATGTCTGGCGCACTTCAATGCTTGGACAATGGTGTGAAATTCTGGGTCACAGTTGCGTCGCGTCAAACAGGAACAAGCAACATAGGACTGCACATTATGGTGATCTCCTACAAGGGCTCGTGCAGTGGCTGACCGCAACTGTGTGAAATACCTTTCACCGCATTGGTACATGTGTACTCCAAAAAGGGCTTTGGCTAACGCCGAAGAAATGGCCATGTGGGACTTGTCTTCCAATGAGTAGTCGGCATGTTGGAGTTTTCTGAGCCTTTTGAGCGCGGCTTCATGTCTTTCTTTATGCGTTCCCCTAAAGGGTGCAAGGCGATAATGCATGATGTATCCAAGCTCTCGGGCGTGGTTGACATGTTGAAGGGAATTTTGATCTGGGAGCAATTGGCTGGCTGCCGCCTGTAATGCTCTCTTGTGTAAAATATCTGTGCACCAGCTCCATGTCTTATGCCAATCAATGGTCAGGGAAAGAGACTGGGCAAATCTCAGCAGGCGTTGAAGGGTGTCATAATGTCGTGTGGGGTCATTGGTGTTATATGACCAGTTGTCCGCATATGCATGCAGCCAAATGTTGGGTTGCTTGACCATGGCTGTCCAGCACTGGTTAATGGCCAACATTGCTGTGACCGAAAGGCTATCGCCTTCCGGAACGCCTGTGGTGGCTTCGGGCACTGGAAAGAGTTGTCCGTTGACTTGCCAATGGCGCGTGGAGCGGCTTAAAGATGAAATCCATCTGTTCACAAAAGAGGCTGGGATCCCCAACCGAATGCAAATCTCTCGCAAAGGTGCCACCGGCACAGCATTAAAACACTTAACTATATCAAGAGTGATGCCGCCCCACTGGTGGCTACTAAATCCATGCGCCGCAGCTTCAAACTGAAGCTGGAGTCGGTAGACCTGATCTGAAGCTTGACGGCCTGGGACAAATCCGGTTATTTCCCGAGGAAGGCGGGAGCCCCAAACATCTAGTATCTTACGGGCCAACACCCGACTCCAGACTCGATAAATTAGTGGGAGAACAGTTATGGGTCTGGTGCTTTTGGGAGAAATGGCTCCTTGCTGCTTGGACACAGGCAACACTCTGGAATCCATCTGCCATTTGGGAAAACCATCCCCATAGTTGTTGTGCATGACAAACATCAGGTCACGGATGCAAATGTCCGGCAGGGACTTGAGCTCGTCTGCGGACCAGCCGCAACTGCCACGGGCTGTGGTGGACTTAACAGCTTTAATGGCTGTCAGCCAATCTTGCAAATTGGTCATGGTGATGGAAATGGTCTCATGTTGGGGGATTAACTCAAGGATTTGTTGGAATTGTGGCCACTAATGGATATGGTTCTGTTGGTCAGGCGTGTCTCTTTGCCAAAATTGGTTCCAATATTGGGACAGTTCATCACTGACCTGTTGTGGATCCGAAGTGGTGATTATCTGGGTAAGGTTATATGGTGGTGGCAATGAATCAGGTGGATCTGTGAGCATCAGCTCAATGTCAGCTCCCTGGACGTCTACGATTGTTGCGTCATGGCCATTGATCTGTACAGTTCTTAAAAGGTCCCATGGCACCTCGTCTAGTGATGTGACTGTGATTAAACCGAACTGCAACGGAGATTTCTCATTGGCAGTGGTGGTGCGATGTCTTTCAACTGTCTGAATTAACCCGGGGGAAGGTTCCCTGAGATATTTAAATGCCATTCGCTTACCAAAGCGTCGGAGGTCCTGTTGCTGCAAATATTCAGCATGGCGTTTTGCTTTGTCTTGCAGTGCATGGG